TATATATATATATACTATATATATATATATATATATATATATATGACTAGGATATATATAGATATATATAGATATATATATATATATATAGATATATATATATATTTAAATGGTTTGTAAATTTTTGATTTATTAACAAATTCATATATATATATATATATATATATATATATATATATATATATATATATATATATATATATATATATATATATATATATATTTATATATATATATATATATATATAATATATATATATATATATATATATATTTATATATATATAAATACTTGTAAATTTTTGATTTATTAACAAATTCATATATATATATATATATATATATATATATATATATATATATATATATATATATATATTATATATATATATATATATATATGACTAAGATATATATATGACTAAGATATATATATGACTAAGATATATATATGACTAAGATATATATATATGGCTAGGATATATATATATATGACTAGGATATATATATATATATATATATATATATATATATGACTAGGATATATATAGATATATATATATATATATATATATATATATATATTTAAATGGCTTGTAAATTTTTGATTTATTAACAAATTCATATATATATATATATAGTATATATATATATATATATATAGTATATATATATATATATATATATATATATATATATATATATATATATATATATATATATATATATATATATATGACTAAGATATATATATGACTAAGATATATATATGACTAAGATATATATATATATGGCTAGGATATATATATATATGACTAGGATATATATATATATATATATATATATATAATATATATATATATATATATATATATATATATATATATATATATATATATATATATATATATGACTAGAATATATATAGATATATATATATATATATATATGAAGCTTGAATTTGAATCATTATAAAGGAATGAAAAGATTCCATGCCAGCCTGAATCCAAGAAGTTAGGTTAGAAGCTCATTTGTCGGCAGGAAGATGAAAGATTTCTACCCAAGGGTCAACACAAAGAAATCACAGAAAGAGATTCAACTTTAAGGTAGTTTCTTTACATTCACCCTTAGGTGCTTCTGACAGAGATCAAACTGTATCTCATTCTTCTTCATCATCAGAATCCCTCTATTATCGTACGTCTTAATAATGTAAAGAAACTGAGAACTGACTATGGTTAGAAATAAGACATAAGTTTAGAGAGAAGGTAAATGATTTGGATTGTCTGAAAAGCAAGTTGGAAAGTTGACTATTTGTGTTAGAGGTTAAAAATGGCAAAAGTTAAAGGCTGAGCATTAAAGTCACCAACAACAACAATATTAGCTGAAGGATAAAGAGAAAGGGTTTGTTCAATTTGATCAGAAATAATATCAAAAAAATTGCAGTCTTGAGATGAAGGAGAATTATATAGAACAAAAGAAAGGCAGTAGAGAGAATTGGTGCTAAACGAAAGCACATAAAAGAATAGTCTGTGAAATTAAAGCTAGTTTCCTGATAAATGGTTGAATTCTTACAAATGTAAATGCCCAGGCCAAGCATGTGACTATTCTATTTATTAGTTTTTACAATTTAAAGGAAGATAACCATCAGCACTAAGATCTCAAGATAAGAGAGTTGAACCCATATTAGTGTCAGAAAGAGCAAGTAGGTATGGTGAACTTTGCAAGAAATAAGACTCAACAGAAGAAAAGTTACTTAGAAGACTACGAATATTAGTGAATGATAGGTTTAGAGAACTTGGTGATGACAATGGTTGTTTTTTTTTATAGTTTTTGTTAGTTTAGTCATTTTTAAATTTGTTAAAGAATTTGACATAAAGTACAGATACTACTCAGTACACTATTAAATAATCCAAGCAATTACCTCGATATTATTAATAAGCCCTGAGTCTTAATAAAGGGCTCTTAATATGGCCTCGTCAATGTATGCCAAAAGTACGAGCAGGAGCACCATCCATGCGCAACATGGCATTGTTAGTACTCTAATATAGTTAAAAATTTTTGTTGGAATCAATATCTCTGAGAACTACCACAGAGATCGCGAAACCTGACTACCAGCTTGTCCCAGAACCATAAAGGAGATATTAGAAATGAGTTGCCTAGTCATAAAAACAGAGACACAAGCAAATTTTATGCATTGAGTCAAGAAGACCCATTCAACAACCTAAACTGGTAACAATGTATTATAAATACATTTATGCCAGACTAATAGATAAAAATATGATTTTTAACCAATGTAAAGTAAAATATTAAATACATGAACTTGAAAATTCAGGTCCAATCAGTCTTTTGTTTATGGTAGTTTTAGCTGAATCTTTTTTTCAACATCTTTAAAAAAGAGCACTTAATGCAGCACTGAAAACCAACCCGATTATTTATTTAAAGTCATTTTATAGATACATAGATGACAGTCATTCTAGAGTACTTAACATTGCCCAAGCTGAACAATTTAAGACAATGCTTAATCAACAACATCCGAAAATACAATATACTATCAAGTTTGAAAATGACAAAAAAACTAAATTTTCTAGACATATGCATAATAAATAATAAAAATGGTAAATATGAATTTAAAATAAATTCATATTTACCATTTTTGTTATTTATTATGCATATGTCTAGAAAATTTAGTGTATTTTACACTGAAAAAATGCAACATTCAAGTTAAGGCAACATCAAACCATGACCCACAAATTTTAAATGGAATATTCACGGGTTTTGTATATAGAGCATTTAATGTATGCAGTCAGAAAAGTATAGAAAGTGAACTAAAATTCCTTATTCAAGTATTTGTCAAAAATGGTTACAAACTGTTCAATCTTATGAGAAATTATAAAAGAAATAAAACAAAAGAACAAAAAATCACTAGTGGCTACTAAAAACATTGAAAACATCACCAGTACGTATCCAACAATTTCATTACCTTGG